GTTGTTTGGCGGGTCCGGGCTGGGGATTCGAACCCGCCACCTTAGGTGTACGTGGCTGGCGCCTTAGCCGGTTGAGCTATAGGCGCCGAGCCCTTAAAAGTAATTTTTAAAGGAACTTTCTGCAATTCAAAAGGAAAGTTTAAGGCTTTGGAGTTTGGCGTCCTTCGTTTACACCAGCCACCCATAAGAAAAGAAGGAAGAAAATTATAAAACAATCTGTACCAAGCTCCTCAAGGCAGCAAATTACAGAGAACAGTTGAGGGCTCTCTTTTAATCCTGATGCCAAAAAGGTCCATTCCTTTAACTACCGTCCATTTCTGGACAAGGAAAATGCCCATTTGTTCTCTTGTGACACAACGATGGGCCTGGGCGGAAAGGGAGTAGTAAGCTGAATGTACCCTTGATTTGCAATCTGTCTCTATGACATTCACATCATTAAGCTGGGATGGAAAGATCCAGGCATGGTGGCCAGCACATGGGCCCATAGCTGGGCAGTGGGTCCTAATCAAGAGCAGTTATCAGTGTATTACTGTCAACCTCAAAGGCCTCTAATCACTGGGCTTGCATGTCTGGTGGCAGAATTCTGCTCCAAAAAGATCCCGTGGCCATGACTGGCTTTGGGAAGACATCCAGATTCTCAAATTACACAGCCAAGGGACATAAAGTACATGATCAATTAATCCTTCCTCACTGGCTAAGTGATAATAGTAATTACTACTATTAAAGGCTTTTACCATCTGCTATGCACTGTTCTAAGTGTTTTATATATATATATTAACCAATTTAACCCTCATGGCAGTCCCATTTTATGGGTGGAGATACTAAGGTACAGAGAAATGAATGATCCTACCTAAGGTCACTCAGATAGTAAGTGGAAGAGTTGAGATTTAAACCCCTGTGGCACGGCTTAAGAGTGCATCGTCTTTTAAGTACAATGCTACTTTTCACTGATGAGCTTTAGCAAGTCAAAGAGAAGGAAGGAGCAGTAGCTGGGGAGTCAAGAGATCTGAACCGCATGGCTATCACGATTAACTTGCAGTGTAACTTTGACCAAGCCACTTGACTGCCTGGACTGCAGTTTTTTGGTCTAAAACCTGAGAAGCTTGGAATAGAACTGCTCTGGAAGTTTACAATCAGTTATTTTAAAAGAACTGATAAACCCTAACCCATCACATCTCTGGGCCAACTAAGTCTTTCAGCCCAGAAAACAAGAAGACCTTCCTGAGTCAGGCTTGTAAATGCTTTTTTAAGTGGCCCGGATGGTGGAATAAAGACAAGTTGCCATTGTGCAATTACAACGCCCAGGTGTACAGGGCTGTGGCATGTTCCTTAAGGAACACTGAGAAAAAGACTTAAAAACTCTGAAAATCTCCTCTTTGTTGCAGGTAACAACAGCAGGGTATAAAAAATAAAATGAATAATCACCGTGACAGCAACAGAGACAAACATAAGAGTGTGTGTGTGTGTGTGCACACTGGAGCATAGGTGTAAATATTCACATATGGATTCCCTATGCATCTTCTTAAAGGTTCACATTTTCTTTTCTTTCCTTTTTTTTTTTTTTTTGGACAGAGTCTTAACTCTGTCACCTTGGGTTGAGTGCCATGGCAGCATCATAGCTCACAGCAACCTCAAACTTTAGGCTTTAGTGATCCTCTTGCCTCAGCCTCCTGAGTAGCTAGGATTACAGGCATGTGCCATCACACCCAGCTAGTTTTATTTATTTTATTTATTTTTTTATTTTTAGAAGAGACAGGCTCTCACCCTTGCTCAGGCTGGTCTGAAACTCCTGAGCTCAAGCAATCCACCTGCCTCGGCCTCCCAGTGTGCTAGGATCACAGGCGTTGAGCCGCTGTGTCCAGCCTAGGTTCCTAAACGTTTTCAACCCATTCTGCTGCAGAAGATGGAGAAAAGGCAGATAATCTTTACCTGACTTCCTGTTCTCCTTTTAAACTGCCTATCCATCTAGTTTTTTTTTTTTTTTGATGAAATCACCATACTCTAGTGAATGTTCTAAGTTTTGCTCAGACTCTCAGGAAAGTGAGTTGATATCATGATGTCCATTAATACTCTCCTGGAAACAGCCAATACGTTGTTTTAAGATGGCTCCAAGGGACAAATGTCATTTCAAAGCCTATACAGTGGGCCTTGTCCCTGTCCATATGACAGTATCTTCTCCGCTTCCCTCTCAATTCAAGCCCCCTCCCATTTCCACTACAACCAGCTTCCTGTAATGAACAGCTTAGCAGTGTTCTCAAAAAAGGCAGAAGTGTGTGTGAGAGAGGCCAGGGAGTAGAACTTCTGATGTTTCTCTTCATAACCAGGTTTTTTAAGAGATAGAGTCTGAGTTTGGTGCCCTCGGTAGAGTGCTGTGGCGACATAGCTCACAGCAACTTCCAGCCCTTGGATTAGGTGATTAATTCTCTTGCCTCAGCCTCCCAAGTAGCTGGGACTATAGGTGCCTGCCACAATGCCCGGCTATATTTTTGTTGTTGTTGTTGCAATATGGCCGGGGCTGGGTTCGAACCCACCACCCTCGGTATATGGGGCTGGCGCCCTACTCACTGAGCCACAGGTGCTGCCCTAATGACCACAGTTTTTAAAAAAAGTTCTCTCTGGGTGTTCTAATAAAGGTAGAAATGCTCTGAAAACATGCAATAAACTCATTTTGGATGGCTTGTGTCCTGATTCATCCCACGGACGCCTGGCACAGGCAGTGGTAAAAATGGCCTATAGGACCCTAGATGACCACACCCAATCACCCAGCATTTGGAGTTGCTCCTTAGTCCGAGTTCCCTGAGGGCAGGCTGGACCCTCTCCTGCTCTGGTCCTCGGGCGCTCACCTCACCGTTGAGGACAGTTGACGACTCCTGGCTCCTGTCCGTGGAGGGGGGCACCACAGGGAGGGCTGTGGGTTTTATGGCGATTAGCTGCACAGACCCAGAAGATGTGTCAAATGGCTCAGCAGCTGCCTTGCCAGAGTTGTCGAAAAGAACTGCTCCTTCCTCTTCATCACTCGCTGGCACTGAAACACAATATAAACACACAGACTTCATGATGTAGGGAGCTGCACGACCGTGGGAAAATTTACATGAGGCTCACAGCCTGAGGACATGACTTTACTCAAAATGACTCAGAAACAACAGCACCTGTTCTGTGCCAGGGCTCACCGCTGCTGTAATTTTCCTTTAAATTTAAGATGAAAAAAACTATTTATCCCTCCATCGCCTTATCAATGGGTAGGAATAAAGACTTTAAAGGTTTGTATTCAAACAGTAAAAACCAATCTTTCAAAATGACAAAACATTTTTAAAAACTTAAAAAGTAACTTTTTTTCTCTCTGTTTCAGATGGAAATGAGAGAAGTGAATTTGGCCAAATCTTGTCACTATTCTTAAAATCTGACGGTCATCAGAATAACGGCATTTATTTAGTCTCCGCCACCCAAGCTACCAATTTTTACCCAATGCGAGGGTAACAAGTCTTCCTTGGTCAACTGGCCCCAATCTCCCTGCTGGTGCTTTCTTTTTCCTTCTGAAGGCTGGTTTTACAATGATTTGGGTTGTGGTTTCTTTCATTTGTCTAAAACAAAAGAAAGCTATAACATTACTACTAGAGAAACTCATTTAAAGCTGCAGACGACTTCCCTAATTAAATAGAATGATTTCTACCTACGCTCTGTTGAATCGATTCTCCCCTCTGACAGATAATTCCTTCGCAGTTGCTCAAAGACACTAGTTTGCCTTCAGCTTCCATAACTAAGCTGACAGTAGAAGTTCTAGGACTTGTGGTAACTGGCTGATTTGCTTGTTCTTAAAGCATATTCCCATGAAGGAACTGGAAGAATGACAGCTTACTGAGTGAGGCTCAGCAAGAGATGAATCAAGCCTGTTCAAACGACTGAACTAGTAGACAATTTAGGAGCAAAGTAGGTGTTACATGAAATATGAATGTAACAGGAGTATATTCATCTTTCCCCCTGTCTGTGCAAGAGGCTGTGATATTATTTAAATTATTGAGAAACACATAGTTTGTATCACTGTGTCACTTATCATAATCACAGTTATGCCAAGTTAACTTGTTCGTTTACAATGTGGCTAAAATACTTCAGAATCTGACAATGGGTTGTAATTGGAATTTTTTTTTTTTTTTCAGTTCTGTGGGCTGATTTGCAAATAGCAGGCCACCAAGCAGCTAATGACAGAGGAAAAATCTCTATTTAGATGTGTTACCAGATACACACCTATTTTTAGAGTGCAGTTTTGCTGGGCAGTGCTTGCCTGGCCACCATTATCTCCCACCTGGACAACTGCTATAAAAGCCATCTATGACTGCCAGCCTCCACAATGGCTCCCAATAATCCTCACCCCCCCGATACTCATACCTACAATGAATAGGTATGAATCTGTGTAACCAATAAGAAATTACACAAACAATAGTGTGCTATTTCCAAGGCTTGGTTGTAAAAAAGCATTATGGCTCCACCTTGCTCTCCCTTGGATCCCTTCCTTTAGGAAAAGCCAGCTGCCATGTAACATGGACATGCTCAAGCAGTCTTATGGGAAGGTCTGTGTGCGAGGAACTGAGGCTTCCTTCCACCAGCCACATAGTGATCGTCTTGTAAGGCCCAGTTAGGACTTTGGATGACTACAGCCCAGGCCAACATCTTGACTGTGACTCCATGAGGGTCCTTGAGCAAGAATCACCCAGCTAAGTCACTTCTAGATTCCTGACCTACAGACGTTATATGAAATAAAATATGTAGATGTCATTGTAGGTTTGCTAAGTATTGGGGTAATATGTTACGTGGCAATAAAAAACTTATAGACCAGCCAAAAAACCTCCTGTTTCTGGGCTTCCCGAAATTGTTTCCTACCCCTAAAATACATTTTCTGCCGGAAGCCAGATGAATCATCTTTCTAAAGGCAACCAGACCACATTGCTTCTCTGATCAGAACCCTCTGAAAGCTGCATGTCTCTCAGAATAACGCCAAACTCTTCCCTACCAGGTCTGGTCCTTTCTGGTGCCAGCCACCTCACTGAACTCACATCCTCTTCCTCCTCATCCATTCAGCTCCAGCCACAGTGGCCTCTTTGAACACATCGGGCTTGTGCCCACCTGTTGAGTTTTGCATTAGTTGTTCTCTAGGCTCTTACCCCAGGTCTTTACAAGTCTAGTTCTTTCCCACTTTTCAAGTTCCAGCTAAAGTAGCCCTCCCATCACTCCGTTATATTGTCTTTACAGCACCTACCACAGCTGGTTTGCTTTACTGATTTCAGTCTGCCCTCGCCCCTGCCACTGGAATAGAAGCTCCAGTCTTGTGCATCTTTCTTAAGGCTGATGCTTATTGCCTTTAACAGCGTCTATGGAAGTTGGCCTTCCATAAGGATTTGTTGAGTGAAGGAGTAAATGACTTAAATTTCCTGCCTGGGAGAAGATGCTGTTAGTTCCTGCAGGACAGGTAACCCTGTAGAAGTTAAAGGCGAGCTATTACTAAACTGTTCAGAGGATGAAGCTATAGTGTTTAGCTTTTTTATTGTTTCTGGGTTGTGACACCCACACCTCTCACCCCGTGGACAAGGTAAGGTAGGCACCATAGCTATCATAGGGCAGGGAAATGATACATTTGACATTGAACAAGCCACAGTTCTTTTTCATCCTAGCTTTTAAATAGGTCATATTCAGATTTGCAGGACAATGCTTCTAGGTTTTCTTAAGAGAAAAATAATTAGTTATCCTCCCTCCAGAAAAGACTTTACAGAAAAATGCATTAAATGCCCATTACATTAAATATTAATGCATTAAAATGTTGTGTGAACATGGCAGGTTCACAGGGATTTTTAATGCATAATTAGTCTCCTGGGAGGATAGTCAAGGAGAGGGCCAACGTTAAACCATGGAAGTGTCCCAGAATACCACCGTATATCAGACAGTGCCACTCAACACCTGCATCATATCTGGTTGTGCTTTGTTTGCATCATTGGTTTTTATTTTAGTGAATTAGGCTGGAAAGAGTGATTTCATTTCTTCAAGTCTGAAGTGGCATGAGGAGGTTCCCCCCCCCATTTGAGGCAGAAAATGCTCTCAAACAACACATGTGCTTTCTAAAAATGTCACGTTGTAGACAAATAATCTACAACTGGCACTGCTACCATACGTTGTTATTTATTAGATGAAAACAAGTCTTCATTTTGTTGGAAGGCAAAGAAAGATTAAAAATTGAAACTCTGTTTTTTAGATGATAGTTCTGAAAAATCTTCTTGTATGCCTTAAACCCTAAGAGCCCTGGCTTAAAAAGTGGTAATTTATCCTTTGCAGTCTTTAATCTTGTCCTCCCCCATTTCACCTGCCCCCATGACCATTAGGAGGCAAAGTCTGATAGATTTGGAGCCCAACAGTGAACCTTTTCAGTGACATAAAAGAAGGAGGCAGAGGGCCCACTCAGAGGGCTTAATGAGGTTGTTTGCTCCTGAATGACTCAAAATGTAAACACAAGTATTACGCTCTATCTACTCCTGAACTTTTAACTTCTTCCCAGAAAATACAGGGTGTTCATAAAGTTTGTGTGCAGTTTACTATGTTAAACTATTTTAAATTGCACACGAACTCTATCTTCATTCTGTGTATTTTTGAAGGTGACCCTGAGTTTGGCTCAGAAGTTCAAATGTCTCTACTTGGCTGAGAAAGCACCAAGTTGTATTTGCTTTCAAAATCCTAGTGCTCACATCTGCCTTTCTCACTTACATCTAAGCATCATCATGAAACAGACTCTCCAACGGCCCTATGGCCATGACGGCTGATGAGGCTCTTTAGCTACAAGGGCCTGTGCTAGCCATGATGCTAGAAGGATAGCATTTTCCTCTTAGAGTTTCTTATTTTCACAAAAAAGAAATATGAGAAGCTGCAGGTGCAGTGAACATGGTAGAAAACAAGAACACTTTTAGAATAACAGCCCAGAACATTACCATTCCAAACCCATAAACATTACCTTCCAAACCCATAAAATTCACCCTTGATTTTATTGGTTAACTCTAACCCAGTAGTATGATAAAATGGAGCCCTCTGATCAAAAAGGATAAGCCATTGGGTGTGGTGGCTCACATCTATGATCCCAGCACTTTGGGAGGCTCAGGTGGGAGGCCTGTTTAAGGTCAGGAGTTTGACACCAGCCTAGGCAACACTCACCTAGGTGAGACTAGGTGTCTCACCTAGTGAGACACCTTCTCTACAAGGAAAAAAAAAATTAGAATTAAAAATTAGCCAGGCATGGTGGCATACCTATAGTCCTAGCTACTCAGGAGGCTGAGGTAGGAGGATCACTTGAGCCCGAGTTCCAGGCTACAGCGAGCTACGATTGTGCCACTGCACTCTAGCTGGGTGGAGAGCAAAAATCCTGTCTCTTAAAAAAAAAAAAAAAGACATGCATAGGTTTCAAGGAAGGTCTCTCCTAGAATTCTGTTGCATTTGTTGAGTTATACATGAAACAAGTTGGCCCTGTCATTTCTACTGGAGATTTCAAACCTAAATCTCACTGAATAGAAAACTATGATGAAACAGAAGTGACCAACCCTGCAAATGTGATGAGATTACCTTTGGCAAGAATGAAGTACAATGAAACCTGTACTCAAAACCTGGGAAGGATGGCTCTTTAATAAAACAAACAAGTACAAGCCTCAACCTGGGACAGTAATTGCGTTTTATTCATGTACTTATCTGTGACTTCAGAAGCTTATGTTTAAATAATCAAAGTGACCTACCCAGAATGAGGAGGCAGGCAGAGAGGACAGACAAACAAGAACAGCCATGGTCAGCAGAGACATTTAGAGAGGGCCAGAGTTTTACCAGCCAGGGGTTGGGGGCTAGGGGATGAGGGGTCAGGAACCGGCCTAGTTCGCTCTTCTTCCACAGACTAAATACAAGGGAAGGGAAAGTCATCACTTTGTTAAATGTGTGTGGACTGACAGAGGAGTTTGCACATTTTTAACCAAGAAAAAGAGCACAGGACAATGTATGCATTGATTATAAAACAAAGCAGTATGGCTAAAAACAAAGATACATGTGTGTCACCATATGCATAGTGAAAAGGTCAGAGAAAGACACACAGAGTTATTCAGGCTCCTTTGAGGATGCGGGTGGGCGAGTTGGGGCATCTGGGGGAGTGGGTGGTCCTTGACTTGACTTTATACATTTCCAGGAAGTATATATAGGAAGGAAGGAAAGGAGAGCAGGGGAGAAGGGGAGGGAGGAGGCAGAGCTGGGGGGGCGGGTGTACCCTCTCAGTCAGGTGGCAGTACTTAGTTAAAACAACCTTCCCCTAAGGCTTCTTGTCCACTGTCTCTGCTATCACCTCACTCCCTCTACCCATCTCTCTTAGCACCTGACCCTGGGAAGAAAGAGAAGAAAATTACTGAATTCAAGGTCCCTTCTCAAGTTCTAGAGCAACTTTGACTCCTGGGTTCACTTGGCAGGGAGCTGATGGCAGGATTCCTAGTGATCCCAGGTGGGTACAGGTATTCCAGGAAAATCCTGCAGGCCACACCTAATTCTGAGATGGAAAGCACAGTGTCTGTGATGCGGGACATGCAGAATTCAAGGGGAGCAAAAATTCAAGAACCAAATAGGTTCAATTTAAATGAGGGCTTTATATAACAGCTGGAAAATGGGAACAGGGACCACATTCTCCCTGCAGAATACAAATCCATTCTGTCATTATTCCTTTTTTTCCCCTTCTCTTTCTTTTTTCAGTGAGAAAACCATAAGCAAGTGACATTTGAAAACACAGAAATATTCTGGCACTCGCTTCAAGAGAAAGTCCCTGAACTACACAAATTCCTTTAAGAGGGAGGCATAGCTGAGCAGAGTGCCAGAGTGCTTAGCTTATCACCTGGCACTTCTGGAAGGCTCCACCCACAACCTTGTAAAATCCAAAAGGAATTTTCCCTGATGTGAAAACCATCAATAAGCCAGCACAAAACTCAGAATGATCAAGTGAAAATAAGGGTCAGAGCAGAGGTGCGTCAGGAGAGGGAGGCTGAGCAAAGAGGTTGACAGTGGCAAACAGAGGGTGCCATCACTTACAAATAAACCCCGACACCTCAGAGGAGGGGAAAGATCTGCGTGAGAAAGAAACTAAATAGTTAAGTTTCTCCGCAGAATTAAGACAGAAACATAAGGTTGATTTTTTTTTTTTTTTGGCAGATTAGTTGTTGTTTTTTTTTTTCCTAGGAGAGATGGATTTGCAATGTCTGGACTCACTGGTATAGACTGAACCTCTGAAACTAATCAGGGAAGTCAGGTCCAAAAAAATAAGGGAAGTCTCCAAGATGACCAGTATTTCAGAGACCAGCCGCCTTAGTGCACCTGATGCTAGAAATCACCTTGACTCGCCCAAGACTCAGGAAAATCTCTACACAAACATCGGTTCATTTTGCAAAGTGTTTTCCCTAATGAATTGCACAATGCCGTAAGAATAAGGGGCAGAGGAGGTGGGATAAGAACAATTCAGAGATGGGAATAAGGTGATAATCCCAGGGGTGCAGAACAGACCCGTGGGGCGAATACACTGGAGTGTGTGCACGCCTGTGTGCGCAGACACGCGTGGGAGGGGCTGAGGGTGGTTCTTGGCGGGAAGGCTTCTCACCATTTCTCTTCCTTGCCTCCTCCTTTGTCACTTTCTGCTGTGCCATTACATTCTGGGGTGAGCGTCTCCCTGAGCTGGGCTTCCCTGATTCGTTGCTGATGACAGAGCCATTCTCACTGGGCGACCTGCTGGAGGTAACCATAGCAACAGGGGAGACGGTAAGTTTCGACTAGAGCAGCCACCGCCTCTCAAGGTTATTTTATTTGCACAGTTTATATCTGTAGCCCTTCATTCCAGTTTGATCAATAAAGAGGAAATAATACAGGAAAAGAAAAAAAAAGCACCCATGCTACAGTGTGGGTTAAGCAGCGGGTTGTTCTAAAGTGCATTTTCCAGGGCTCAGCTGCATAGGGAAGCTGGTGAGTGTGGCCCTCAGTGCCCATCTCTGTTCCATTAGCCCTGTGACTATGGAAACGGTGGTGATGGCATTTGTGCAGCGTGCCCTCTCTTTAACACACAGAGCTCTGGATAGTGTTGCAGAATCACATGGTTCTTTTTGGCTATTCTCTTTACCACACACACCTGGACAACTAAAGATTAAGTTGCCTGCCGTTGGGGTCTTCCTTCTGACAATCTCCCCCCACCCCCCACACACACACTCTTGAACTGTGACAACTAGTAACCACTTATACTTTGAAACAACTGATTAGAGTTATTTGCCCATTCAGGAAATACGTTTTGTGCACCTCCTGTGCCAGGCATCATGCCAGGTATCCAGGAGCGCAGAGATGCTAAGACACCACCCCATGCTCTCCAGGACCTCCCCGTCAGGAGCACGGACTACACACCAAGGACGGTGCTGAGTGTTCGGAACTGATAATGGCTCGCTACAATGAATGACTGATTTAATGACTGCCAGCCTCATTTAGCAAGCGAGGAATGTGAAGCTCACAGACGTGCAGTAGGCTGTCCAGGACAGAGCTGCCAAGAGGCAAATCTGCTGTGGAAGCCAGGATTCCCCTTCTCATATCCTAGAACACCTTCCCTTCATTGTCTCCTACAAGGAGCCCTTCATACAGGGCAGGTCAGGAAGGGGCCTTCTTCCCCTTCCTCAGGATGGGACTCTCATCTTCTGGAACTCTGGGGGGGGGGGAACAAGCTTTTGAGAGCCTCTGCTGGGGTTCCCTGGGACCTTAGATTGTACCAGCCTGTGGGCAGACTAAGCAGAAAGACTGACTGCCTCCCTTTGGTGGGGCATGATCAGGAGGCAGACTTCTAGGGACCTCTTGTTCTGCTATGAGCAATGTCCAAATTTAGAAAATAATGGGGTCTGGCCCCTGCAACTGAAGACTGGCTGTAATGATATAGTTCTCCAGGGGAAGCTGGGGATCCTTGAGGGTGCTCCTCTTCCTCCTCACCCTCCTCCTTTCTTCCTCCTTGCCCTGGGAATTTAGAATTCTCAGCCTGTTAACTTCGGCACCCTAAAAGCCATGAAAAATGAACATTGGGCTATCTCTGGGCTGTATCTACCAAGAGCGTCTTACGAACACTAGAGCCAAGTAAGAAGTTCCTCGCAAAAGTTGCACAGACACGTATAAATTTGGGAAATGTTTACTATATTCCTTCTTTGCAGATTCCTAATGTACATTAGCATATCAAAGGCTTTAATCAGTTCTGTCAGTAAGAGACTCATCTGGGTTAATTTAATTCAGCATTTCCAAATTTATTTGGCACAAATCTTTTTTACCATAATACCTTTTAACACCCTGTAAAGCTAGTAATACAAAGAATGTGGTCTGGGAAAACAAAGATAAACCATTAATTTATGGAGAGGATGTTATTTATTTACCCGGCAGCTATCTGACGGCTGAGTGCTGGGTGTGCAAATACACACACACACACACACACACACACAGAAGGCACATGACCCCGTTGTTTTCAGAATCTTGTGGTTCATGACACCTACTCTCCCAACTAGCTTTATAGGGACAAAAAGGCTTTCATTTAGGTCCAGAAATAAAGGAAAAGTCAAGGCTTTCTGTAATCTATTTTACATTCACAAACTACCTACTGGTTTTTATAGCATTTTCATACCTTGTCCCTCACTTGATCCTGAAACAGTTTTCTGGCTATTCCTGCCACTCTAAGGAAAGGTGTCAATGAGCAAATTTCCATAGAGAAAACCTAATTCTCCATTAGTTTATAGACTTACGGAGTTGTCAACTCAAAACAGAGAGTGAGATTGTGTGTGTGTGTGTGTGTGTGTGTGTGTGTGTATGGCCACACACACAAGTAACAAAAGAGGTTCTGAAAGCAAGAAAAAGTCACCTGTGAGGCTGCAGTTTTAGGCTATTGAACTCAATAGTCCCCATCTGAGGATGTGGGCAGACACCGAGCCCGAAAGAACAGTCTCGGGTGGGGATTAGTCAACTGCCGAATAATTACCACTAATCACTACATATAAGTGCTTTTTCTACCCCTATGAGGCCTATTTTCTACCCTGCCCCATCAATTCCAATCACACACCAGAAAAATAGCAGAACAAGACCCTAGACTGGAGGGAAAGGACTCAATACCCACCTGGCTTCCTGGAAGTCACTGAACCCTCAGATTTCACTTTTAAAATGATTTTTAAAAATTGATGGATCAACAAGTGCCAAATCACTGGATCATCTAACAGACCCATTCTGAGAGGGCAGGCAGTCTGGAATAGCAGGGACGAGGAAACTGATGTGGTAAGACGGGAAGCCAGAAACGTAAGATCAGGTCTGGTGTTTTAACATTTTCCCAAATGATCAGGATCCCATGGTCAGCTGGACTTGAATGGAGGTGAGGTTTCTTCCATAACTTTGGCAACGATATAGCTAGCCCTTAGTACAGGGGTCCTCAAACTTTTTAAGCAGGGGGCCAGTTCACTGTCCCTCAGATGGTTGGAGGGCCGGACTGCAGGCCCCAGGACAAGTCAGCTGCTAAGCAGGACAGGCAGTGAGGGCAAAAACACCTGGCAGGCTTAATAAATGTCCTAGGTGGGCTGCATGTGGCCTGCGAGCCATAGTTTAAGAATGCCTGTCTTAGTAAAATTATGTGTTTATGGTATAATTATGACACAAATGTAGAAATCCTTCAGGAATATAGACATTATCTTCTTTATCTGTGCTTGTTTCATAAACTAACACACACACACACATACATATGAACTGAGTAGTTCTATGGGATAAGCTAATAGTTCTTAATATAATTTGGGAGCAAGTAATTGAGTCTGATTAGCAAAAGTAGATTGCTTGCTTATCCAAGAAGAACTGCTTATTCTCGGACAGCGCCTGTGGCTCAAAGGAGTAGGGCGCAGGCCCCATATGCCAGAGGTGACGGGTTCAAACCCAGCCCCGGCAAAAAAAAAAAAAAAAAAGAAATGCTTATTCTAAAAAATGTTTGTAAAGACAACATTACACAAATTACTTGACTAGAATGACTAGAAAAGAATTTTTATCCTTCCTGTGAGTGCCATGTTCATATCCCAATATTAATAATTCTATTTATTTATTTTCAGTGTCCTCTGGATAGGTGATAACGAGTTGTTAATATGCCTTTATTGTATTTGGCAAAGATCACAATGAGAACCATTGATGCAGAAAATACAAGTCAGCCCAGATAAGTCGTTTATTGCTTCTCTGTACATTCCAACCCTGTTCTGTTCAGGCTTCCCCCATTCTGGGGACCCCATTGCAGTAATGAACCCAATTTGTCCTCACCTCCATAACCAGCCTTTTGGTAATCCTTTCCTACAATGACTCTGGACTTGGCCATGTGACTTTGGCCCATGGGACAGTTGCAAACTGACATGACCATTTCAAACCATGGACTTGAACAATGTTTTCACTTTGGAGCTATTTTTCTTGCTGCCCTTGGAATCCTGGGACCGCCCAGTGAGTAAACCAGGGCTGGCCTGGCTGGAGGAGGGGAGCCCACATGGTTAGGCCATTCCAGACAAAGCTAGCGTCATCAAGTCAGCCCAGCTGACCTGTCACCTGACTGCAGACACATGAGCAAGCCCAGCTGAGACCAGCCACACCGAGTTCCGACCAGAACCACCAGCTGAATTCAGCCCAAACTGCTGACCCACCAAAATCATGGGCTAAATAAACGGCTGTTATTTTAAGCTATTAAGCTTTGGAGTGGTTTGTTAAGGAGGAATAAGTAACTAATCCACATGCCCCAGCCTTCTTTCCTACACAAGCTGAAATCCAATCCTATGTTCCTCTGTACCAAGAGCTCCCAGAAGAAAAGACATATCTTTGTTCCTTGAGTTCAAGACAAAATCTGTGCATTTGACACAGATAATCCTGCCTTTCTCCTCAAACTACTTCCTTCTCTCGGCTTCTTGGATTCTACCCTCTCTTTGTTCTCCTCATGCCCTTCTTCCTGACCTATTCAGTTACCTTTGTTGATTCTTCCTCACCTTTTGGACCTTTCATTATTAAAATGTCCCAGGGTTCAGTTCTTGGATCTCTTCTCTATCTATACCCTCCCTGAGGGTTCCCTTCTGTCTCCCAGCAGAACACTGACAACTCCCACCTTCACATCCCCACCCTGACCCTCTGCTCCAAATTCCAAACTGGAGACTCATTTGGTTAACTGAGTTGTCAACACACCCACTTGGACATCTAACAGGCATCTCAAACTTCACATGCTCACGGCCAAAGTATTGATCATCCCCTAATAAACTCCTCCTCCCCGAGCCTTTCCCAACACAATAAATGGCAAATGCTCTCCTCTCTATATTTCTCTCTCTCTCTATTTCTGCAACTTCACAACACTCTATCAGCAAATCTTGTCAGCTCTTCCTTCAACATGTCTCTAAACTCCAGCCTCTTCTCCCACCACCAAGCTGTAGTCCACACCACCCTCTTCCCCCTCAATGATTGCAGTAGCCTCCCGACAGGGCCCCTGATTCTCCTCTGCATTCCTGCAGTCTATCTGCCACACAGAGGCCAGTCACATCATGTCATTACTCTTCTCAAAACCTTCCAGTGAGATCTGATCCTTATTCACAAAACAATTCCCAGTGCTGACTTTGGACTGTAAAGCTCAACATGATCAGCCTCAGGCAACTTCTCTCACTCATCAGCTGCCCTTCCTCCCTGGTTCAGGCCAGCCCTCCTTGGCCTTTCTGCTCTTCTTTAAATACATCCGGAAATTCCCTCCTCTAGGCACTGCACACACTGTTCCATCAGCCTGGAACATTCCTCCCACAAACGATCCCAGGGCTCCACCTCATTTCAGCAAGGTATGTCTCAGATGTCTCTTTATCAGAGAGGGCTTCTCCGGCTTCCTCTCTAAAACAGCACTATGCTCATCTCTCTAATCCTTGACTGTGCTTTGCTTTTCTTCTGGTCCCGTACTCATCACCACCAGACCTAGAAATAGGCAGACTTTATTTCTCTATTTGTTGATTGTCTATTTCTCCCCATGGAAGAGGAGGAGCTTTGTTCTGTTCGCTACAGTAAGACCAGTGCCTAGTAAACAGCAAATGATCAGTAAGTATCTATTAGATAAAGGGAGGGAAAGAAGGAAGGCAGCAAGGAGGAAGCAGCTTTTCCAACTTTCATAGTGGTCGCAGGCAAGGAAGAAGGGGCTTAGCAATGGTGTTGGTGTGGTCAGCCAACAGGGCCTACCGGGGGTTCATTACCTCTTTACAAGGGTATTGCAAAGTCCTCGTAATGAGTCTTTGGCCTGTAACCTAACCTCTCCCATCTCTCATCCACAGTGCCACCAGAGTGGTCCTTCTAACACATAGGCTGGACATCTGTGCCTTCCTACAGAACTTTCAGTGGCTTCCCATTGCCTAGAGAATAAAGGTCAGGCTCCTTAGCCTGGTGGTCAAGACTTTCCATGATTCTAATCTATTATCTGGTTTCATTCTTCACGAGACCCCAGCCACTATGCACTCTTAACTCCAAGGACACTCAGTATTTAGAAAACATGCCTGTCCCTTTTCACTCTCTACTCTTTGAGACTGGATACCTTTGTCTTCTCCCCCCATTCAGATTCCATTCACCCTTTCAGGCTCAGCTAAAACATAACTTTATCCATGATGCTTCTGCTCCTCTCTTTCCCACAGCCCTCTGCTCAGACTTCACGGTGGGCACCCACATATCAGGCTTAGTATTCCCATTATCTCCCTCCCCCCGGCCTCTTTTTCTCTCTCCATCACGTGATCCTAGGGGCCAAGAATCAACCTTATATATTTCTATGGTCCTCCCACAGCCTGTCAAAGCGCTCTGTTCCAGTAAAAACTGAATAGTGTTGACTGAAATTGGAAACCCTCCTGAGAAATTGTCAGATAATATACAACTGTACTGAATTAAAGGTGTTGCTTTTAATATAAGTAAAAAATGTGTGACATCAGTGCCAAATTTGTTATAGTAATTATAAGAGCAAGGGCCCTGCTGTGGTGGTTATCAGTGATATGAAATCTTCCAAAAGGCAGCTCGCACGAAGCAGGGGTTGTGATTCTTATGGTCCTTTTGCAATATCCAAAATGAGCATGAAGGGGAATTTTTAAAGAGAACAGTGGAATTGACCAGAGGGTGCCATCAGTTACTTCTCTGGCTGACACCGAGAGGCGGGAGTCAGCCCTGCTTACCTCTTTCTGGTTTCGGTGGACTTGGCTGTCTTGACAGTGCTCCCATCCTGCGTGATGTCTCTTTCCTGAGGGGCATCTCTCACAGGCAGTGGCAGGACCACCGTTTCCTGAGTCACAGGAATGACCTCCTCATCGGCCCCTTGCTGGCCCAGGTGTTGCTTGGCATAATCAAATCCTTGTACAGGCTGCGAAGAGGAAACAGGTTTGCAGTCGCATTTCTCATCAAGTGTGACCCTCACCACAGCTTTAAGAGAAGACATGAAGCAAGGTGCATGTGATGGCTAAACTTACTTAGCCCTCTGAGGAACAAGAGTTAATTCAAATCCCCAGTCATGATGTCTGTCTCTGCCAAACCAGAATCCACATTAATTCTACCTAGCAACAGAATCCCTACTGATAAGACTTGCTCAAAAAAAATGAAGAATGTAAGTAAGATGCAAATAGGTGTTTGAGAACAAATGTCGTTGGAGAATTTTAGACCATGAATTTTAAGTCAGTGGATACTGATAATAAGAAACGATACTTAGGCAGGCACAGTGGCCCACACCTGTAATCCTAGCACTCCGGGAGGCTGAGTCAGGTGGATTGCTTGAGCTGACGAGTTCAAGATCAGCCTGAGCAAGAGCCAGACCCCGTCTCTATTGTCTCTGCTAAAAATAGAAAAATTAGCTGGGTGTTGTGGCAGGTGCCTGTAGTCCCAGCTACTCGGGAGGCTGAGGGAACAGGATCACTTGAGCCCAAGAGTTTGAGGTTGCTATGAGCTATAACACCACTGTACTCTACCCAGAGCAACAGAGTGAGACTCTGTCACAAAAAAAGAGAAAGGAAGGAAGGGAGGAATCTAAATGGATATATCAAACAGGTCCTGTGGATTACCATCTGCCTAGAAATATTTGGTTACCCGTTACCTCCACTCTCAAATAGCTTTATGTGTGTCTTTGCCAAGTCTCAATGTTCTCAACTGAGAGATGAAGATAATCTTATCTGTTTTACCTCTACCAACCTTGAGTATTAAAGTGAGCACAGATCTGAAAACAGGGAAAGGTGCTACCACCTGAGCGGCAGTACAATCATTAATAATGAAATGGAATTTATGGACTTGCTCTTTAATCCAGACTTCTCCCTTAAGCAGGCTGGCTCTCCTCTTATTCACTCCTGGGAAATTGGCAAGGTTTTACTGCACAGTGTCTGAAATTCCAAGTGCATAAAGTAGCTGTGAGCAAAATTCAACAGACATCTATTAGTGAGGTAATAAAAAATCATGTAGAAACAATTCCTGGGAGTGTGTCCATTCTGCTTTATACCCCAAAGCAGCACAGTACAGATCTGAGCAGGACCACGTGGCTGGTGGTTAATAGAGGCAGCTCGGAAAACAGACTGCCTGGGTTCAAATCCTGACTCCACCACTTCCTAGCTAAGTTAGTGAAATTCTCTACACATCAGTTTCTTCGCCTGTAACTAGAGATAATAAGTGAGTAAAGAGAATAAAACGTGCATGCATATGAGAGTGATATTTAACCACCTTCAAGGGAATGCTGTCAGCTGTCAGGATTAAATAAGTAGTTCAAGTTCAGCATTTAGCTAAGTGCCTAGCATATACTAAGTTCCCAATCAATGGTAGTTACTACGGTTTGCTTTTATTATTTTTTTTTTTGAGACAGAGCCTCAAGCTATCCCCCTGGGTAGAGTGCTGTGGCATCACAGCTCACAGCAACCTCC